TTGTGTTGATGTATCTTATTGTTTGTTGTGTCTTATTGTTTTTGTTGTGTCCTTTTGTTTATTGTTTTGTTCTGTCTCATTGTGTTGATGTATCTTATTGTTCTGTTCTGTCTCATTGTTTTGTATCTTATTGTAGGTCACTGCCACCGGGTATAAACCCATTTGCAGTCAATAATAAATAATAATAATAATAATGAATTTTTGTTACTATGAGAAGAATGGATTTGTAGAAGTTCTCGATTTTCAAAAGAACACGATACTTTACTTAAACTTCATGCCTTACCAATTTACCTCATTATTTCACACATGCAGTTAAATTAATTTGTGTGAAATGATATTTTAAATATTTTATATTTTATTATCTTATTAAAACTGTGATTTGACGGAAAATATTAAAATATAAAATATTAAAAAAAATAAAATAAATGAACAATTTTAGAACTCGGTCAGTATAAAAATTCAAAATTTATTATGATTTCCTTAATTGAAATTGTTGTTATTGTACGTATATTCGGAAGCATTAAACACTTATTTTCCTTGAGATACGTGTCAAAATAGAACACGGATCGTAATTTGTGGTAATATTACTAGGGCGACATGTTTCTGTCCCACATGGCTATCCTCAGGCCCTTACAGATACATTTATATAATCTGAGATTAAATCATATACGTGGAATGTATATATATATATATATATATTAAAAAATAAAATAAATGAACAATTTTAGAACTCGGTCAGTATAAAAATTCAAAATTTATTATGATTTCCTTAATTGAAATTGTTGTTATTGTACGTATATTCGGAAGCATTAAACACTTATTTTCCTTGAGATACGTGTCAAAATAGAACACGGATCGTAATTTGTGGTAATTACAAGAAGTTAGTAATTAATAGGTAAATTATTTTTATTATACCCGGAATGCGTATTTAAATTTGAAAAGCAGACTCTTACCTTAAATAATGTCGGAAAAGAAGGGTTTTTATAAGTATAATAAATTTTTCAGTTTATTTAAATATCGAATTTTCTGTCATTTTATTTCGCTGAAATCCTTTTGATGTTTCTTTGTCAGACTAATTCATTCAGTTCTAATAACATCATGCCTCCGTAGAAATGCATTTGTTTGTTCCTAAGTTAATGTTAATTTTTGAATGATCTATTTTTGACTTTATATTATGAGTCTTGTTATTAAACACTGTACAACTGAGATTAATTAATCCGTGGCGTAACAACCCTGTGAGAGCCAAAGCCGACTAGCTGGCTGCTAGCGTCACGGTCACATGCCTAAGCAGAGGTAAACGATTATCCAACCAGATATAAGGTGACGTGTGGTCAGCACGACAAACCCCCAGCCATTGCTAGTTTTCATGACCAGATTTCACTACCCATTGTAGCTCCCCAATTTCCTCACCGGTACCGGTCCCACACACCGGTCGAAGATCTCACGGGAAATTTCTTTTCTCGAGACTCGAACCAGCGCGCATTCCGTATCACCGGACCGAAGCATGATGCCTCAGACCGCGCGGCTACGGCGCGGGACATAACTGAGATTAAAATGTGTTAATATATTTTATGATAATTTTCTTATTCAGTAAAATGTGAAGTTTCAGACTAACAGTATACTTATTATAATCATGCTCCATTCGTTTGCTATGAGCCAGGATAGCTCAGTCAGTATAGTGACTAGCTACGGGCTGGACGACGGGGGTTCTATCCCCGACGGGGGCAGAGGATTTTTCCTCTAGCCTCTGCTTCCAGACCGGCTCTGGGGTTCACCCAGCCTCCTCTACAATGGGTACCGGGGCCCTTTCCCGGGGGTAAAGCCGGACGGGGCATGATGCTGACCACTCACCCCCATCTAGTACCAAGGTCAAGGAATAGAGGAGTTATACCTCCACTCCCCCCAAGCGCCTACATGGCGTATAGTGGGACAAACTTTACTTTTACTTTACTCATTCGTTTGCTTGTACACGATTTGGTGTTCTGACAACAAATGTATTCGAAGGCCTAGAATAGTGTACAGCAGGATATGTTCATCAGTCAAGCTACTTTGGAAGCTTTTATGTTCTCCTTGTCATCCCATACTTTTGCAACTGTCTGAAAGTTGAAAGCATTTAGAAAAAAAGCAGAAGCTATGAAAACACTGAGACAACTGTGTTTCACAAATTGTGTTTAGTATCTGTTCTTCTGGTTTAAACTTCATGATTTAGGAATATATATTTGCTGAACACACGCAATTTTACCACCCTCAGTCTCTTAGAGTCAGTCTTCAAGTCCTGACTATCATGGCATATTTGTGTGAAATCCGTTTTGCTATCAAGCCTAGTCAAGCAAGAAATGAAGCTGTGGGATCGAATCCAGGCGGCCTTTCTTCAAGACAACATCCATTTAGAGTGATTTATAAACGTGAAAATTGTAAATCACCCTCATGCTTCTTGATACTAGACTCTACTTGTGCTTACACACAGACTCCGAGATTTCGGAACCGTCAGAAGTTTGAAACCAACAGAAGTTCTACACCCATTAGTAACAGTAGCTAGGTCACGAAAACTTTCGACACATGAACTGGGTGTTCCTAAAAGTAGACACAAGCAAAATGAAATACACATGTGTCCTAATAAGGCCCCTTTAACGGACATGCAACAGAGGACAATACGATTGAACATTTGTCCGAATCTCCATTACTGCCAGTGTAGTTACAAAGACGAAAAGCAATAGTCGCACTTGATTTCTGGATGCTGCAGAGAGATTCGCCTGAAGGACCTGGGAGTGAACGGTCTCCCATTATTATCTCCCAAAGGAAGAAGCGTATCAGACGCATAAGTGACGAATCTTTGATGTTGACAGGAACAAAACTGAACGAAAATCCTTATCGTTGAGTAGAAGAAGTACCAAGTAGACGACAGGTTGTCGGCGGAGTCTATGGGGGTTGGAAAAACAAAGCAGCTGGATGTCAGGAACCTGCAGTCACCAAGATTAATCAGATATCAACAAGTGATAAGCCAGGGGATAGAGGTGAAGTTACAGTAGGTGGTAGGACGGGGATTAGTGCAAATCCAGTCAGATTGTGATTATAAAGAGACACCGTATTACGTAGTTGAGGATTCTGTTAAAAGAACGGTGTTTGATAGTGTCAGTGTTCACAGTTCTTGAAATCATGTTTCTTGCACTGGCAATTCTGATGATATCGGCCACCCTCAGCATCGGAGCAGGGGCCAGTGATTCTACGTAATGCGTCCGTAGGTGAGTACCATCAGATACGTTCTTAATTTGACAAGTTGATACGCACGTAGCCTGTGAAACAGCATATATGCAAAGCAAGCTCTAAGTTTAAAATTAACACATTAGATTTTTATAAAGTACCAGTAGCAAGGTAAAACAATCTCTTTAGTTCCATACGCAATGTGGCTTTGAAGTCACATTTTGTGTATGATTACTTTTTATTTAAAGCAGTTCTGCAAGTTCTTTGCGAGACGCACTGGCATGGTGTGAAACTCCGGCTTTATAATGTAGTTTAGTTTAACTTCTAAAAATAAATTATATTTTCACAATGGTCTACAGGTAGTCACATTGGTTGCTGGAAATCCGATGTTTGATTATAACAGTGCTTGGCTCTGTACAGAGTAACTGAAATTTATTGTTTGCAGGAAACAAAACATCGAATTGTTACTGTACTTCAACTGCTCAAACAATAACTTTAAGAGACATTGTCACGTCACATTTCAGTATATCTCTCCACTGGATTTAAAATAATTCTGCTGGACTATCAGCTGCGATGCAGATGGTTTCGGTATTTTAAGCCATTTTTTATGACAGACTCTGAGGAAGTAAATATACAAGAGTAGCGTCGGAAGTTCCAAAGAGTTCTATGAATCTGGAAACGTCAAAAGTAAATGTCTCATACAAAATGTCGGAGCCTTTGTTTGGGCTGATTTCTCGCAATTTGTCAGTAGACGTTCAAGTATCTCTTTCAAATCGTGACACATGTATTCCGATGTAAACTTACCTTTGCAGAAACCACAGACATTGAAAAACGCCAGCCTTTGGCATACCGTACTCTGTATTTACCATTATGAAATTCTCCCCCTGCTAGTCCTTCTTCATCATCATCATCATCATCATCATCATCATCATCTTCTTCTTCTTCTTCTTCTTCTTCATGCATTGAGCTTCCGTCCGCTGCGACTCCTTGATGTTAATCACGCAGTCATTTCTTTAGGCGTCAAAGCTTCTCTTTCCTGTGGGAAGACAGGTCAGCATGAGGCGCGGAAGTCTATTCTTATCCACACGTAATATGTATAGTTCAGTCACTTTTCTTGTTTCTATGTTATCATTGAAACTATTGACTGCTAGTTCCCCTGCTAGCCATGGTTGTAAATACAGGGTATACACAAAAGAATGGTGCAACTGTGACTGGCGACTCATTTTTGGACATGTTGGAAAGCTGGTTGTTACCCCAACTGAATACCAATTATGACGATTACATTCTACAACTGGACGGAGCTCCACCCCATTTTCACAGGAATGTACGAGTGCTTCTCAATCGTGTTTTTCCACAGCGCTGGATCGGATGAGTTTGATTACCGTGTGGATGTGTGTCGTGTGACCCAGGGTGCACACATTGAAGGATTGTAATTAACCCATGAGAAACTTGGACAGTTGCAGCCGCTGACGGTGTATGTTGTGCCCATGTAAGGTGAGAAATAAATTTTGTATTAACTTTTGAAAGCGCACCATTCTTTTGTGTATACTCTGTATACAGAATTACACGTTGATCTTGTACCCGCCACCAGTCTGAATGCTTTAAGGCGACGGAAGTACCCTCTCCCCCCCACCATTTTCCGTGGTTCTGAGTCCCAGTATAGCATTGCTAGCTTTGTGTTGCAGCATCGCACGATTTTTCCGTGAACCTGGAAAATACAATTTTGTGACGGTTACTATAGATACACTCTCTGCAAAACATCATAGGAATTTATAAACCAATTGTTTCTGCATGCGAATCATAATTTTTGTATCAGAAAGGAAGGCTCTCGGTATGATATGTGACGCATAATACATTTCATACAGCTTCCCCATGTCTTCTGTTGACCTGTTTTGGAGTTCCGGCGACACAATGCTTTTGTCATGTGATAAGTTACAAGGACTCTTGGCGAGCTACATCAGCTTATGGGGATCACAAAGGTCATCCGGTGTTTCAATACACGAAAACACACCGAAACTCTCTACAGCAGGGAACAGTCGGACAATGCACCGTAACCGTCGAAGGTTTGCTCAGAACTGATCGAAACCCATAAATATTCTGATGACGATACACTGATTTATTGAACGTCGAAGAAGGAGTGCACAAAAGCTGTCTCACTATACGCCAAACAGGCGCTTGGGGGGAGAGGTGGTACAGCTCCTCTCTTTCGTGACCTCGGCACTAGATGGGGTGAGTGGTCAGCGTCACGTCCCGGCCGGCTTTACCCCCGGGAAATGACCCCGGTACCCATTGTATAGGAGACTGGCTGAGTCCCATATGTGGTCTGGACTCAGAGGCTAGAGGAAAAATCCTCTGCCCCCGTCGGAGATGGAGCCTCACGTAAGTAAAATTGCTAGTGTCTTTTGAAAGAATTAACGAGAAATGTGATAAATTGTATAGGGCTAAATTGTAAATGGGTGTGTTAAGGAATTTGTCTCAGACAGTAGAATACATGCCTAACTTCTGTGTTGTTACACCGTGCAGGCTGGTAGGAGTTTTCCTCCCAGAAGATAGCCATCTTCAGACTCAACGACGTGGAAACCTCAAATCGTACTAAATATATTTTGTGAAACTAAAGGCCTTCGTGAAACACCACAGAGCAAAATAGCTCCACAAATTTGCTATCTCGATGATTTGACTTGTTGCGGATCGAAGCATTATACTGCTTTATTGCTGTTAACATTTTCTTTGGTTAAATCTCCGGATAGCCAGCACCTTGTATGATGTAACCTGTTTCCATACTCTCCACCAAATCATAGAGCTCAGTGAAATGCGTCTCCCTAGTATCTGGAAGTTTGAAATTCCTGTCACAGACTGACATTGTTTTTCGTACACTCTCATATCAATCCTTGTTTTTTGTGAGTACCAAAAATGACCTCTTCTGAGGACAAATTTAACCAATCAGTATTTAAACATTCTTTTTCACCTCAAAGAAAACACCACGCGTCTCCATTAACTAACTAACTAGATGGCTTACCGAACCCGAAGGTTCATCACCGAATTAACCAAAGCCCTCCACCGGACCCTGTCCTGGGCCAACAAAATCCAGTTTCCTTCAACTCCTATAATTCTTACAATAGATATAAATTACTACTAAGCACAAAGCTTAGGTTATAAGCATAAATTTAATAAGAACGCAGTATTAATGACAAATATCTACTTTAAGCGTTAAGATGACGTATATAAGTATTAAAAAGGACGCTATGTAACAGAGCTCTTTGAATGGATCATTAGCGTCTGTCTCTGAATCCATTAGCTAGCTCACTGTGCGTAACATTTCTTGCAGGTAATTTCAGACGTACAAATATATAAAAGGGCGAACGTCAAAATGAGTGAAGTATTAATTTACGTAGAAATATTATCCAGAAAATTGAAACTCAAGCCCAAATATCTCAAGCTTATTATAATATAATATTAAGATATCACTTAATTTTATTTTATATTACATTTTCATGTGTTTTAAATGCATTTTACCCTCATAATTACAGATTTTTGTCTAAAAATTTATTTCCCCGTGGAGTCCATATATACCGCTAATTTAATCAGTAATTATTTATAATCGAAAATTATTCAATGCTATGACTGCATCAGGATATGTAAAATATACTAAGCATACAAGATTGTGGATATACAACAACAGTTAGGTCCATACCCATGTAATAGACTCTCCCATATTACTCTGTAACACACCAGTTAAGGTCAACCTTGTTGCTAGGCCGTTGCTCACACCAAATGCGCAAACGTTGTACATGTACGAACATTACTTCACATCGAAATCCTTTGCTGTTGTTCGTGAAATATTTTAGTAATGCGTATCCCAACAAAGAATTACCGAATAATATAGCGATAAACCGACTAGTAACAAAATTTCGGAACACAGAAGTTTTTGTCTGTAACAAGTGTTCACATATAGCAAGTAAAATTTCCAAATTAAGGCCGTATCATTTTCAAGAACTTTTATCTGTTAGAGAACGGCATTCGGCTGAATGAATTCAATACATTCACTGGTTTCGTCATTTTTTTTGCTTAAATATATTTATATATAAAATTATTTAGTGTTGAGTTTTAAATGTAACACCCTGTATGTACATACACAATATAAATGGGATAAAACTATAATTTCCTTTTGAATTATAATTCGTAATGTTACAAAAAAATATATTTTATGTTCGTATGCGGAGTGAATTTTACGTGTACTTCAGAAGTTATTTTATTTTAAGCATATATTTTCCATATAGACACTGCAGGGAGCAACTTCTAAGAGAAGGGGGTTGATTTTTATTGATATTTCTACGATACTACAAAATGTTACCTTCTTTTTGTGAGATGGGACGTAAATGTTAAATCTCCCAACTGCGATATTTGAGGGCTGAGTGGGAGATGAGACGCTTTATAAAATGTTACGTCTCTATTTTAAAGCAATGAAAAAAGGAATTTTTCTTTCTGAAGGAGACAGAGTCGTCTTAAAATACGGCGATGTGGAGAGAGGTTTCTTGATTCATTAACAGGTAATATCATACCTATTACGACTCGCTACAAAATGAACCAAATTCTGTCTCTACGATTAAACACCTAATTGCTAATTTGTACTACTCTTCCTTTTAGAAATTAATCCAACTTTGTGGACTGATGATTTTATGAATGTTAAAGCTACGGAGACGGGGAATTTTATGTTTTCTTACCCAATTTTCCTTCTTCTCCTTATCGTCTTTAATTTTCTTCTATTAAATTATTTGTATTTCTGTATTAGACTATAGCAGACGTAATAACACAGCAA